TAAACCCTAAACCCTAAACCCTAAACCCTAAACCCTACGACCCTACGACCCTACGACCCTACGACCCTACGACCCTACGACCCTAAACCTTTTTTGTGAACTTCGAGGCGGAAGCTGGTGTCGGAGAACTGGCGGGGTATCAATGACTCGGCCCGGCGACTCTCCAGGAGCTCGGTTGGGGGTTTCCGATATTCGGGGGTACCGTATTGGGGTCCCTATTTAGGGTTTGGGGTTTAGGAATATTTGGGTTTAGGGTTTAGGGTTTAGGGATATTAGGGGTACCTTGTTGGGGGGTCCCTTATCTTCGTAAACTCCCAAATGGCCAAGGTCTGGTTTGAACGTGTTTGACCCTACCTTCTATCCCCTACCTACCCTGCACTGCCCCCTATCCCCTTCGCACCTGCCCCTGATTCCTCCCTCCCTGCCCTTCCGCCCTCCTCCTTCCCGCCAACACTGAAGGCTCCATGTTCCTCTACCCTGACCCCAACCCCCAACCCTATCCAGCCTCTCCCCCCCTACCCTTCCAACCTACCACTTGCCCCTCTACCCTTCTACCCTTCCAACCAATTAACCCCCCTAACCCCGACCCTACCGCAGACACCCCCCCCTACCCCCCCTACCCCCCTACCCCCCTCCCGACCCCCGACCCCCCAATCCCGACCCCCGACCCCCTACCCCCTACCCCCTACCCCCTACCCCCCCCTACCCCTTACCTTCTGCCCCCAGTTGAGGGTCCGAAGGTACAGTAGCCCTGTGCAGCTTATATGGGGGTTTCCGAACTTAGGGGTACCTAATTAGGGTCCCTTTTATAAGGGAATCCGACTATTTGGGGGTTCATATTCGGGGTTCCTTATTCTCGTAGACCCCGATATGTTTAAGTTCACTAACTCGTTCGTTCTTTTTGAGAGTCCAAGTTGGGAGTGCAAGCAGCACCGCCCACGAAAGGAGTTTTCAGACCTCGGTTTTCTGAGTCCTTTCTTGGCACGTCGTGTCCCCGCACGTTCATGCACAACAGGATTCTGAATCTCCTTGGCTGCACCTACTCGGATCCCGCGTGCAGGGTTTGTGAGGGAGGTTTGCGGTGAGCCGGTGCGCACCTCACTTCAAGTCTGCAACGGATGGCATGCACCATGACCATTCCCAGAGGTTTAGAGTTTAGGGTTTAGGGTTTAGGCTTCAGTTTTCCCAACTCGCAAGTAGCCACATAAAAGGACCTCGGAGATCCCCTCCTTCGAGGGCGCCATAGTGAGCGACGGTGGGGAGCAAGGGGCTTAAGTTCAGCCCCCCCACACCTGGGTTGCCCTGAAAGTCTCATGTCCCATTTTGGAAAAACATACGCCCTAGACCCTAAACCCTAAACCCTAAACCCTAAACCCTAAACCCTAAACCCTAAACCCTAAACCCTAAACCCTAAACCCTAAATTCACAGGTTCAGGGGTTTGGAGCTAACGCCGGTCTCGGTACGGTAGTCCAGAGTGTATGAAAAGCATGGAAGAAGCAGGGTGTTCTCAGATCTTTGAAGACCATCCAGGGATGCCCTCGTTTTCCAGGATGAGCCTCAAGCGATCTCCTAAACCCTAAACCCTAAACCCTAAACCCTAAACCCTAAACCCCAAACCCCAAACCCCAAACCCTAAACCCTGAACAATTCCCGAAGCTCAGCTCGTAGTCGTAGACAGCATCGAATTCGTTCGCACGCGACGGTCCGGCGACCACTGCCGGCACGAAGAGCCCTTCTTTCCTGAGCCCATGTCCAGGCTTTAGGGTTTGGGGTTTAGGGTTTAGGGTTCTCGTTACCAAGTCCAACCTCTTGCAAGCTCGTGTCGTGGCATCAGCAAACGCTGACGTCCTCTGCGCTGCCCCTCGAGGGGGTCGTGAATTCGCACCGGGAAGTTATCGTCCGCGAGCTGGCTTCGAGTTCATCACACCCGGGGCGTGTCTCTATAATAGGCCCAAGACCGAACGCCCTAAAGGTCTGTAACCCCAAGCCTTAAACCCAACTCTAAACTCTATGGATCTCCAGCCAGTGCAGTGCCGTGTACCCTCAAGCTGATGCGGAGCTGCTCCGGGCCACTTTCCGACGCACAACCGCAGGCAAGCTCGCAGCATTTCCATGCACTCACGGGGGTAGAGATGCCGCCGAAGGCGGTGAAAAGCCCTATGAAGCTCTGCAAAAAACCGTGTTGCCCTCTGCTACTGTTCCAACCCGATCTCAGGATCAACCCTAGATCCTTGCTAAGCTCTGGAATCCTTGACCTGGAGCCTGGCATCAACCCTGACTAGAGTTCACAATCAGCTCAGAACCCGCCTGCCTTCGCCGAAGCCCCGAAATTCCTAAATCCGGCGGCCCGAGCGCTTTAGCTTGATGCTTTGAATGGCCGCACTGCCTCCACAGAAAACACCCACGAAGCTCCGTAGCACTTTTCTCAGCCCTCGAAATATTTACGGCCCATCAACCCAAAAAACTCGATCTATTTGTAAACTTCGCGAGTCGGGAGCCATGGCGCTTCCTGAGCCGTTGGATCTCGGCTTCGTGGCCGGGAGCTCGGGTCGCAGACACATCTTGAGGTCTTCTAACCCTAAACCCTAAACCCTAAACCCTAAACCCTAAACCCTAAACCCTAAACCCTAAACCCTAAACCCTCAACCCTAAACCCTAAACCCTAAACCCTAAAGCTGCAGCTGTCTTTGTGCTATCTTTGGGCCGCGCTTTGCAGACTTGCAGGTGCCAAATGGTTCTTGCCACCCTGGGCCTACACATTTAATCTTGGGCCGGAGGTCTAAATATTGCATTGAAGTTGGGCTTAAGGGCATTGAACAGTCGAAGGTTTGGTGGTGGCGGCAACCCTAACTCCCCGAACTCCGAGAATCCTGTTCGCTTCGGGTTTCCAGGCAGCAAGCCCTCCGCATTTCTCCGAGGTCCTGACCCCGCAACAGCGCGAGGGCGGTGATCTCGCTGAGTTGGTTTTAAAGGCGCGGTTGCTGGGCTTTTTTTGTCGTAGTGGTAGTAGCAGGACCACCACCACTACTGCTAATGCTGCTACTGCTGCTACTGCTACTGCTGCTACTGCTGCTTCTGCTGCTGCTACTACTACTACTACTACTACTACTACTACTACTACTACTACTACTACTACTACTACTACTACTACTACTGCCACGACGACGACGATGAGGAGGACGACGACGACGTCGACGCCGATGCCGACGCCGACTGCGACTGCGACTGCGACAGCTACTGCTACTGTTGCTATTGGTACTGCTACTACGGTGCAAAGCGACGGCTTGCCCGCACTTTTTCTCTTGAGTGAGGTACACGAAACTTGCGCAGGCGCGAAGTTTCCGGTGTTTGGACGTCCGCAAACATTGTCATTTTTTGCTTTGAACGACCACCCTCTGCGGTTTTCGCAGGGGTTCCGGAATTTTCAAAAGGCGGTGGGTTGCTCGCGCCCTTGTCTGGAGGTGTGCAGGCGCGATGTTTTTGGCTGTTGTGATGTTCGCCAACACTTTTTTTTTGGGTCTTGTAAACCCAAAGAGTAAATCAAGAGTCTGCGAAACCCCTAAACCCTAAACCCTAAACCCTAAACCCTAAACCCTAAACCCTAAACCCGAAACCCTAAACCCGAAACCCTAAACCCTAAACCCTAAACCCTAAACCCTAAACCCTAAACCCTAAACCCTAAACCCTAAACCCTAAACCCTAAACCCTAAACCCTAAACCCTAAACCTAACCCTAAACCCTAAACCCTAAACCCTAAACCCTAAACCCTAAACCCTAAACCCTAAACCTAAACCCTAAACCCTAAACCCTAAACCCTAAACCCTAAACCCTAACCCTGAACCCTGAACGCTAAACCCGAATCCCTAAACCCTAAACCCTAAACCCTAAACCCTAAACCCTAAACCCTAAACCCTAAACCCTAAACCCTAAACCCTAAACCCTAACCCTGAACCCTGAACGCTAAACCCGAATCCCTAAATCCTAAGCCCTAAACACCCTAAACCCTTCTAAACTCTAAGCCCTAAACGCTTGGGTGTGGGCAAACCGCCCCTTTGGCGGGTACTCCTCCCACTCCTACTCCTACAGCGTCTACAAAAACTACGATTCCTACACCTGCGGACAAGCCTACTTTTCTTGTTAGTGCTACTTCGATGACAGCAAGATGAGTCGCATTCGATTTCTCATCAGTGGTCGCACACTTCGTGGTAGCAGTGCCCGTGTTAGGTTCATCGCTTGGCCTGGCATGGCAAGTTTTAAGCAGCGCATGGCTAGAATGTCAGATGGCTGTTTTGCGTTTACTGAACGTCGGGTCTTGCCAACGGGTCTTTGTAATGTCTGCGCCAAGCTGAAGCTTGAAAAAAGTTAGCTCTCAGGGCATCCGAGCCACGTCTGAGGCGAAAGATGCTGAGTTGACCGATCAGGGCGTGACCCAGATGACGGATGCTTGCCTTGAGTCCTATTTGCTTAAGAACTCCAAAAGAAAAGTTATTATCCTTATATTACGCTTCTAGGGAGAACATTATATATTTATTGAGGGCTCTTTAGCAATTAGTAGTGTTGCTTAGTAGTAGAGTAGGTAACCCTTAACCTTTTTGGGTTAATATATTCCCCTTATATTCCCAAAGGTTAACCTTTAAAACCCCTAGGTACTGGACAACTGAGCCAAAAGAAAAAGTTATTATCCTTATATTACCCTTCTAAGGAGAACATTTTGTATTTTTTGAGGGCTCTTTAGCAATTAGTAGTGTTGTATCTGGACCTTTCAGCCCCTGATGTTCTGCAGGGGAACTAAGTCCAAGCTTTGCACATCTTGCACCAAGTGTTGTTTTTAAGCATCTCATTGGCAGATTGCCAGCTCCCTTTCGACGTACAGCGCCTACTCTTTCAGCAAGTTTCAGAGCTTACAACACTACTAATTGCTAAAGAGCCGCCAAAAATGTAGAATGTTCTCCTTAATTAGGAGGGTATTATAAGGATAATGATTTTTTCTTTTGGGGTTCTTAAGCAAATAGTAGAACAGGAACCCAGTAGTTCTGTCAATGAGAGCACTGTACACTCTTGCGTTGCATCGGCCCATGAATTTCAATTACAATCTTCCATCTTCTAAGCCGCCTCAATATCGTAGGAAACGTGGACCATCAGCTCAGGATTACATTGATCGCTTCCTCGGATACGAGGGTGTACAAAATGGCTTCTCCATCGTGTACGCAGCTGGGACTCGCGATTAGGGTTGCTTAGAGGCGGGAGGTTCTTATAAGGGCAGGGGCTACTTCGTGCCCTTGTCCACGTGGTGCACAGGCGGTTCTGGCATTGGAAGTTCCATTGGTATGACAGGGTGTACTGTGGTAACAGCATTAAGCTGAAAAGCTCGATATCCGCTTGACGGCTTAGGTTTATGGCTTTACGGGCTGAGGTGGGTTGGGGCTTCCAGGAATTCCAGGATTCGGGGTCGAAGATCACTGGATGACATGGCGGGGGCATATCTCAAGTCCCATTGACATGTGGGCATCCAGGAGAAGGGCCCCGGACAAATTGAAAAAAATAAGATGCTGTTGGCACCTCTGTGTCTGTTGAATCTGAACCTCAAGCGGTTGGGCACACTTGGGTTTGTACTTGGAGTATTCTGCAGAGCAGCTTCATCAGCAGACTCGGCCCAGCTGCATTGCCATGAAGGCACAATTCTAGAGCATCCATCTGCTTCAGAAGTTTACAGCCACACTCCAGCAGAATCGAGCGCCATTTTGCTCAGGATATGCGCTTCCTCCGAGTGCCCTCCATGAAGATCGTCATGCGCTTAGCAACTTGGCTTGACATATAGATTCGTTCCCCGTTTGCTGCATTGGGCGGTTGCATTCATTTGCTCACATGGCTTGGCGAAGCGACATCAGGCTTTTGACTTGCATGTGGCTTGCCGGCCCCTGACCAACAAAAAGTGGGCAGCCAATTGTTTCACCATTTCCTTGACACAACTTTTCAGTGTGATCGAAGACAGAAGAGAACTTACATTTTGCATTTCCGAGTGTCATGGACAAAATGAAAGAACCGATCAACTTGCATGAAGATCGTGCACACAACCAGCAGAAGAGTACCAAGGAACTACCGCACGGTTTCAAGAGTATGCCAACGCGAGAACTTGCAGATGAACGAATCTCCAACATTCTAACAAATTGTGCAGTTTAGGGTTTAGGGTTTAGGGTTTAGGGTTTAGGGTTTAGGGGACTCACATCGCCTGGCTTAGTTGTAGCGCTGGCAAACCCAGAACAGCCTCTGAGCCGCTCTGAGTCTCAGGCAGAGTGGGGGCGCGACCCAGCCCGCACTGAAACTTTCCAGCGTGGCTCGTCTCAGGGCGGTTGGTTCTTGGATGCTTCTGGGCTCCAGACGAGAAACCAGGGCGTCTCAAGAAGTCGTGCTGTATAACGAGGACTCTTAAGCCCTATGTCCTAAACTCACCGCCGCACATGAGCCTTAGAGTGTTTGGATGCCAGAGTTTCCTTAGTAGTAGAGTAGGTAACCTTTAACCTTTTTGGGTTAGTATATTCCCCTTATATTCCCAAAGGTTAACCTTTAAAAACCCCTAGGTACTGGACAACTGAGTTTCGGATTTGGGGTGGGGAGCTTTGGCCAGGAAATGCTGGTGCATCAGGGATACAAGCTTGCAACTTCGCAAGGGTTAAAAGGCTCGCAGTTTAGGGTTTAGGGTTTAGGGTTTAGGGTTTAGGGTTTAGGGTTTAGGGTTTAGGGTTTAGGGTTTAGGGTTTAGGGTTTAGGGTAAGATGTCTCATGAGTTTGATTTTCCACAGGGACGCCTTAGGTTCAACAACTTTTCGAATCACTTTTGCGAGGAGGCTTACAGATGAGCTGTGCGTCACCATTGCTGCATTTGCTGACTTCTGTTATGTGTGTGCGCGCGACCGTTACAGCTCTTTTGATGCTGGACCATCTGTACTTGAATAAACGGCACAAACTCGCTGCGTCTCAACCCTGTCCCCAACCAGCGTTCATGTTTGCCAGTCCTTCAAACGCATTTCGAACCAAACGACCTCACTTTGTAAGAGCTTTGTTTGCTTGGGGACAGAAGTTGGGCCACAGGATCGTTGCAAATATCTATATATATATATATAGACATAAGCAGAAAGACGTATGTATCATCTAACAAAATAGCGTGGTAATGATACAATAAGTTAAGAATCTTGGATGAGTCCTGGTTTGACTTCCTATATACTCCCCAAGCTTTAAGCCAAAACCCTGTCGACTCTGTACCCTAACCCTAAACCCTAAACCCTAAACCCTAAACCCTAAACCCTAAACCCTAAACCCTAAACCCTAAACCCTAAACCCTAAACCCTAAACCCTAAACCCTAAACCTAACCCTAAACCCTAAACCCTAAACCCTAAACCCTAAACCCTAAACCCTAAACCCTAAACCCTAAACACTAACCCCTAAACCCTAAACCCTAAACCCTAAACCCTAAACCCTAAACCCTAAACCCTAAACCCTAAACCCTAAACCCTAAACCCTAAACCCTAAACCCTAAACCCTAAACCCTAAACCCTAAACCCTAAACCCTAAACCCTACACCCTAAACCCTAAACCCCAAACCCTAATAGCCTCCTGTGGCCAAGGCATGAACAAAGCCTGCAAAGTTGTTGTCACCGAGGCGCCAGACGGTGTTTGTCATGTCGACTGCTTCCGTACAAGGATTTCAATTCTCGAGATGAGAAGCCCTCAAGCTTAAGCGTGCCTTCAGATGATTCGTCTAGGGCTCAGGGTTTTACAGTCAGGGAGAAGAGGTTACTCAAAGTGGCCGGATTGCAGCCAAGGAGTAGTAGGTTCGCCAGCAGGTCAGCATCCTACACTACACTTCTCCCGCCCCCCCTCCCCGCCCCCCCACCCCCCCAAACATTAGTGATCAGTGTCGCCACCACGTGAACTGCCCTGTCGCGCAGTCCCTACGGCAATGAGTGACCTAAGCAGGGGAATGTGATGAGGCAGCATAGGCTTGAGGCTGCAGGGTTTGACAAATGGAAAGCTCGAGGAAAGCCTAAAGCCTAAAGCCTAAAGCCTAAAGCCTAAAGCCTAAAGCCTAAAGCCTAAAGCCTAAAGCCTAAAGCCTAAAGCCTAAAGCCTAAAGCCTAAAGCCTAACCCTAAACCCTAAACCCTAAACCCTAAACCCTAAACCCTAAACCCTAAACCCTAAACCCTAAACCCTAAACCCTAAACCCTAAACCCTAAACCCTAAACCCTAAACCCTAACCCCTAAACCCAAAACCCCAAACCCTAAACCATGCACCATGCGTACACCTTGCAACCTCGCAGGGCCTTCGCACCCGCCTTGCAAAGGGGATCCTGACAACGTGCGCTGGGCAGCACTTCAGACCTTTACAGGGGTTTTAGGGGGTTTTAGGGGTCTTGGGTCATTTTGGGTGTGGGTGTGCTGATGATCTTGTGGAATGCTGTGGAGGGCTGCTGACGTCCTACAAGTTGGGGAGTTTGCTGGTCTGTGGTTTTGTTGCACGGGTGATATGGGGCTGCAAAGGTTCCCAAGTCCGCGCTTGGGCCCAGAGTGGCTCGCTGGGGGCCCGACAAGCACACAGTCAAAAAGCCTAAAGGCCTAAACCTCATATCTAAAACTCCTCGATCAACAACTTCCCTTCTGCCCACGTTGGAGATATCAAAAAAGGTTTCCGGCGATGTGGGTTTTTTGGGGCTTTCGGATTGGAGGGCTGAATTTTGGAATGGCTTGAGGGATTTTCGGATTCAGGGGGCTTCGATGCCATCGGTGAACCTGGAATTCGAGGCATCCTGGTTACCCTTCTGTAGATGTCAACCTGAAGCCCCGCACCGAAGGGGTTTAGGGTTTAGGGTTTAGGGTTTAGGGTTTAGGGTTTAAGCTTTCCCGGGGCCTCAGGTTTTTCTTCGTGTGCCCTCCAGTCTGCCACGGACCCAGATTCTCAGCGCTACGGGGTTTGTTTAGGGTTTGGGGTTTGGGGTTTCAGGTTTGGGGTTTGGGGTTTGGGGTTTGGGGTTTAGGGTTTAGGGTAGGGTTTAGGGTTTAGGGTTTAGGGTTTAGGGCTTAGTGTTTAGCCCTGTTGTCACCACCTCCAGCCGTCCTTGCTGCTTCGTATGCCATTCCGCGCATAGTAGAACCAACTATGGCGACTCTGAGCCAGCTGGCCACCTACTTTGTATGACTAAAGCATCCTCACAGGTGATACATACCTGTTGACAGCAACTCGGCAGCAAGTTAGCGCGGCCCAAGGGGTTTGGGACTTCGATGCCCAGCTTTCCGGGAATCCTACTATTTGGGGTCTGTATTAGGGGTCCCTTAATTCCGTAAACCCCCACTTCATGGTTTGGTGTACAAGTTTGACATCGGGCCCCCTGTACGTCTGTGTGTGTGTGTGTGTGTGTGTGTGTTTTTTTTTTTTTTTTTTTGTGGTGGGGGGGGGGGGGGGGGGGGGGGGCGGTTAAGGCATGTCAATTTTGAGCCCCGACTTAAACAGTCAGCCTCCAGCCCTCTTCCGAAACCTGAACCTCTCACCCATACTGTCAGGCAAGTGCAGAGAATTGAAGTATCTTTGATTTTATTAAGTCAGACCTCTTTCATGCTCTAGAGCTTGCGTTCCCTCGCCCCGTGCTGCTTTCTAAGAAGCTTGTTCAGTCTACTGCAGTGGGTCCTCTCGCCCGAGACCAAGTCAGTTTCGGCGCTTGTAGAAGCCCCTAAACCCTAAACCCTAAAACCTAAACCCTAAACCCTAAACCCTAAACCCTAAACCCTAAACCCTAAACCCTAAACCCTAAACCCTAAACCCTAAACCCTAAACCCTAAACCCTAAACTCTAAACCCTAAACCCTAAACCCTAAACCCTAAACACTAAACCATAAACCCTAAACCCTAAACCCTAAACCCTAAACCCTAAACCCTAAACCCTAAACCCTAAACCCTAAACCCTAAACCCTAAACCCTAAACCCTAAACCCTAAACCCTAAACCCTAAACCCTAAAACCCTAAACCCTAAGCCCTAAGCCCAACGTCGCATTCTGAAGGGCTGAGTATTGCTGTGTCGGTGTGAGCAGTAGCAAGCTCGACTCCGACAGCCGTATGTGTTAAGGCCCCGGCATTAAAACGCCCAAAGATCCGGGCTTGGGTGCTGGTCGGGACCTCTGCGACGTCAGGCGGCAGACCAGCCGGAGTCGGAGGGAGTGCAACTTAGAAGCATTAGCGCCCTAAACCCTAAGCCCTAAAGCCTAAACCCTAAACCCTAAACCTTAAACCCTTAACCCTTAACCATTAACCCTTAACCCTGAACCCTTAAACCTTAACCCTTAAACCCTAAACCCCAAACCCTAAACCCTAAACCCTAAACCCTAAACCCTAAACCCTAAACCCTAAACCTTAAACCCTAAACCCTAGTCTAAGTGCCGCATTCATGAAATCAGGGTCTCGGCCCTGGAGGGAAACTCTTCCTGCTAGCGATTAAGGCCTGATTCGCCAACTATTCCTTGAACCTGCCCTAAAATTGTGAGAATCTCTGCGCGCTACAACAGGCTTGCCAATTTTTATTTCCGAACGCATTCGGGCGAATTTGGTTTGGGTTTTTTGTTTGCTCTTTGCCTTTTATATGAGTATCCGTTGTTTTTGTGTCTTGGCTTTGCGTCTTTTTCGTGTTTTTCCGGTGTTTGTGATTTTGTTTGTGATGTTGGACCTTTGTTTTGCGCTTTCGTCGTATGCATTTCTTCCCACGTCCAAAAGAAACACAAAGAACATGCAAAGCAGAATTCAGAACAGCTGCACAGTCCGTGGCCAAGAGATTCTGCTAACCCTAAACCTTGGGATGTTCCCCCTTATACTAGCAGTCCTTAATAGGGATTGCAATCGGGGGGGGGGGGGAACTAGAATCCCTATTAAGGACTGTTAGTACAAGGGGGAACATCCCAACCTAAACCTAGGGCCTATGGTGACAAACCCTAAACCCGAAACCCTAAGCCCTAAACCCTAAACCCCAAACCCTAAACCCTAACCCTAAACCCAAGCCTATGGTGACTTCCGCAAGCCCCCGAGGTATTTTGCACCACCGTCCCAGAAGACGGACGAGCCCGAGGATCCCGATGCCGAGGAAGATGAGAACATCCAGGGAGGCACTTGAAGGGCCTCTGTGGGTTAGGTTTAAGGGCTTCGGTTTAGGGTTTAGGGTTTAGGGTTTAGGGTTTAGGGTTTAGGGTTTAGGGTTTAGGGTTTAGGGTTTAGGGTTTAGGGGGTATTCGTAACCCCCATCTCGAGTTTTGCGAACGACAGCACGTCTCAAGTCCAAGAGCAGTAAAAATCGTCGAGCCTGTAGGCTGTAGGTCTAAGGGTTGTGCGAATTCAGTTGTGACGTTTGGTGTTTATCGCTTTGATTCGAAGCAAAGCTTAAGGGCTTGTGTTAAGTTGCGCGGCAGGTGCACAGAACGGACAGCCAGGGGCCGTGGAAAGGATCGATGAAGGCCCTCTCCGGCATGATTGAACTGGAACAGTGCTGCCATTCAAGTTTCGGGTTTAGGGTTTAGGGTGTAGGGTTTAGGATTTAGGGTTTAGGGTTTAGGGTTTAGGTTTAGGGTTTAGGGACCCTGCAGGCTGTTCTTCGGGCTTGGAGGCTTGGCTCAGTTTAGGGGGTTTGCGAGTAGAGGGGACCCCTAATGTAAACCCCAAATAGTAGGAGTCTCTTATTCAAGTTTTAGGGTTTAGGGTTTAGGGTTTTAGGGTTTAGGGTTTAAGGTTTAGGGTTTAGGGTTTAGGGGTACCCCATGGTACCGCTAGTGTCGCAAACCCCCATTTTCATTCGCGCGAAGAGAGGTTGCCTCGCCAATCAAAGCTTTGCAAAGTTCCAAACTCCAAGGACAAGGGCTTCCGTTTGAGAATGATGAAGGGAGAAGAAAGATCGCGCTTGGCTTTTTCCGTTCATGAGAACGAGAAGCCACATCCTTTCAGGACTTAGACTCAGACCATGCTCTTTGCATGCCGCAGCTTCCGTCCACGGGAGTTGGCTAGCCCAAAATTTCTTTTGCCGCAACAGTATTGAAACGAACCTATAATATCTTCAACTGAAGTGTTTCCAATAAGTCATTGCTCGAACCAAACATATTTTGGTGCCCTTTGCGCAGGCCATTCGACCCAGTAAATACCTCAGGCCCCAGCCACCGCAAAGCCTGAAGGTGAGCCGCAGTCACGGGTCCTGCGCAAGGGCCTGGGCAAAGGTCAGGGTTTAGGGTTTAGGGTTTGGGGTTTAGGGTTTAGGGTTTAGGGTTTAGGGTTTAGGGTTTAGGGTTTAGGGTTCGCAGCCCTCAGCCTCTTCGAGGTTGGCACACCATCATCTCCCTCTCTAGGTGGAAGAAGGCACTTGGGGTTGATCCATTGAAACCTGCCTTTCTTCTTTATATTTTTGCTGCAAGCTGTACAATGTGGAAGCATTAAATTCCTACTTCTCCTGAAGCTCTCAGTGTGGTCCGGGCTGAGGTGC